GGGGGGGGGGGGGGGGGGGGGGGGGGGGGGGAGATGGGGACTGAAGGATGTGTATATTTTTTTCTCTGTTTTTGTCTTGCATTTAGATTTTTGAATTTTCTTAATTGTGTCTTGTGGCCGTATTAATTATTGCCCCTGTCCGCCTTTTATCCATCCTCATCCGCCCATAGCAGCATGGTAACGGGGTGTTAGGGTAGCAGGTTAATGTTGTTTTATTGATGCTGGGGGCCAGGGCTGGTCAGTGATGAGTGGCCCTGTCCCTTTCACTGCTCCTGACATCTTTATATTGTGGAAGCAGGAGCTTGGCTTGGACATTCTGCCGAAGCCAAATGTGGGTGTCCTCGGCTGCTGTGACCTCACTGCCCCCCCCCCCCCCCGATCTAAAGTGTGTCTAATGACAGGAATAGGGCTCACTGGCTGAAGCCCCCACTGACAGCTTTTCTGAGACTTCCTCAGATTGCAGACAACGTCTAAGGTCAGGCTTCCTGGGGGGCCGTCCAAGGGGGGTTGGGGTGTCCAAGGGCCCCAGCCCTCAGCAATATGGCTTGAATTTCCTCAGTTTTGAAGCGGTTATACCTCCCAGCTTCTCCTTGCAGGGGGGAAACAGACCCTGACCTTTGCTCTGGCTCCTCCACCCACCGATTTATGCTCGCCAGAGCGCCTCCTCAGAAAGAGTGCGAGGAATTTGTTATGCGTGACCTCTGACCCCGGGCTCCAACGGGAGCCACGGGGTGGGGAAGTGAGGTGGGCCTGAAGCGGGTGTGCAGCACAGAGCTGCTGTTTTTGTGCTGGAGGGTCTAACAAGCGGATTTTGCAGGAATTTGAGGCATTTTCAGAACACTGGCTGCCCAGGCGACCTCAGACCATTCTGCTTTTTCTTTAGGAGGACAGCTTCTGTAGTTCTTAGGGAACCTGACGCCGGCACAGTGATTACAAGCACGTGTCACACAGGACAAACGCACGTCAACACATGTAGCCCAAATGCCCTGATTTATGTTTTTAATAAAATCAATTTTGTATTAGTTTATATAAAAGGTTATGTTTTGGTCTTTGTGTGCTCCTGGGCTGATTGTGTGTTACTGAATATCGTGAGTGAAATGTCACCTTGGCTGGGTAATAGCCAGCTAATGCCGTTAGCCTTAGCGCCTCTACCGGTCATCCGTCATCAAGCTGCAGTCTGTTCCTCGCCTTCCCAACCCTGGGGACGAATCCTGGATGCTCTCTATAACTTGCCAGGCGTGTCAGCTGTGATTTATAGGGGGGCAAACATAATTAGCTATGGATAAACATGCTGGCCATGTTCGCAGACGGAGAAGGAATATAAATTCTGCGGATTCATGCAGATTGGCCACCCCTCCTGTTCACCATCGGCCTCTAAATCGGGGGAGTTTCTAGCAAGCGACGCCGGAGGCCGTAAAATCCCACTCAAAGTCCCTTCCGCTATTTACAGCCGGAACATAACTGACGGCGTTCCGATGTATCCAGATTAATGACCAAAGTTACTTCCACGATGTAACCATAGGGACTCTGGTGCGGCAGAACGCAGGCAGAACCCCAGCCGGTTTTGGGGCCCTTTCAATAGCCCAGCCTCCCCGCCGTTTGATGGATGAGCTCACCACTGAGCATGGCAAACTCAGCGGCACTCTGCCATTGGCTGCCCTCACTGTGGAGGCCGTGCAGAGGACAGAGAGGTGATGGAGAAAGCCGATGGAGAAAGGCATCAAAGGCGCTTCTGAGGACCCTTGAGTGGGAGCCAAGGTGCGGCCCCCTCCTTTCAGGGCTCCTCGACTTATCTGTGCTTTCCCGAGCCTGCTCCCCTCATTTGCATATGTTTTGGTCTTATTGGCGGCACATCAAATAGCCGTGTCTTCCAGAACTTTCCGAGCCAAGCCCCAAGGCCGACGCTGGCGTTTATCGCCAGCGCCGGAGCTGCACAGCCCCCCCCCCCACAGTGTCGGACACGGCTGACGGTGGCTCCTGAGTGTTCTCGAGGCGCGTACAGACCTTCTAGAAGATTCCAGCTTGTCTGTCGTCGTTACTTTCGACTTTGCGAAAAAGGGGGGGGGGGGAGACTCATGGTGCTGGAGAGTCTATGTAGTCCATCAGTGACACCCACGAGGGTGTTTCTGTCTGCGCCGGAAAGGCCTCTCAGTCGTCATTCAAGGCTCTGCGTGGCCTTTGCAGACATGCGCGTGACTCTCCCTGGAGCAGAGTGTCGCCGCTCTCCTGCAGCTTCTCGCAAATTTTATGATGTAGATCATTTGAATAATGAGCTTTTGCAGTGAGCCCCAGGCTTCCAATGAGGCGCGATCGTTATCAGTCACAAAAACCGAGAATGTTTATCACTAAAGTGTGAAAGCCAAGAGGCTCATCTGCTAGGGGCCCTTATGCCCATGAAACAAGGGCTTGGTTTTTAACGAGCTCCATGTCCGCAGCCCCGTCCTTAGCAAGCCTCCCTCGATGGGGCCGTGGCTCCTTTCCCCTGTGGATTAGGGCTGGTGTTTTTCAGTGCTGATGTATCCAACATGGCCTCTAATACAACGCCCATGCCCGGCCTCTGGGCTCCTCTGTGATTGGTCGGCGTCTCCCCATGATGGGGGAGTTCGCCGGCACGTGCGGGGCTCTGAGAGGTGGCGCCTCCTGCTGTCTCACTCCTCTCCATCCCTCTCCTCTGCATTGTGACATCTTTGTTTGCACGGCCTGCTGCCAGGCAGCGTTTCTGACGGCACAACAGTGCCCCCTAATGTTAGTTCTGTGGAGGCTGCTTGAGCGCGTCCAGGTTCAGAGCGTTCGCTTTGTAAACGGTGGCTGTGATTGTGAAGGGGCCACACCTCCTGTTGTCGGGGTTCGAGGTCGCCCTTTTCAGCTCGCCACCTCGACTGATGCGTTTTTTTTACTCTGATGCATTTGTTTACCCTTCACAGCCACCCTCCCCCCCCAACTCGGCTAAACAGTCTCTCTGACGCACACCGTCTCAGGTCACTCTCCCAGGCAGTAACATCTCTGTCTCTTCCTTCACAGGCTTCGGATGTAGGATCAGAGAAGCTCTTCTCGCCCACTGCGCAGAAAGGTGAGTGCTCTAACCCGCCCACACCCCCCCTCCCACTCCCATACCCCCCCTCCCACTCCCATCTGCGTATCCAGAATGTTCTCTGTGCTCTGCCCGCATGTGACCCTGAGCTGCACAGTCATTTTTATCGGCTGTATGCACGAGAATCCACATCTTTTCTAGGTCCGCGGGCTTGCTGGTATTTTTGGATGCTGATGTTATCAGGTACTGGTTGACCAAACCCCTCCCCCCACCCACCTGTTTCCGTGCACGCTGCCTTGGGGGGGCTGCGGGAGATGGGGCCGGCGATGTCCTTGGGGAGACGGCGCCCCGCGGTTGTGTGTGTGGGTGTGTGAGCTCATGATGCATGGGGCCGTGTTCCCTCAGGGTCCGGGAAACAAGCACATTAATAATAGATGATAGCACGCAAGAGAGAGCTATTTGTTTAGTGTGGGGCTGTTTCCGGTGGGGGGGTTGTTGGCCAGCTGGGAAAGATTAAGAGCTGCACTTGTTAGTGACTTTAAGAGAACTGAAAAAAACCATGGTGGTGGGAATTGTGGGTGTATTTCCCAGATAACACCCTACTGCTCCTGAGTAATCGAATCCTTTTAATCGAGGATGCAACCTTGATTTTTTTATTTTTTTTATTTCCCCATCCCCCATGCGTCATGCCCCCCCCCCCACCCCCCACCCACTCCAGCAAAGGTGGTGCATCATTTTAACTGGTGAACCAGCCAAAGAAATAGTGACCCAGCAAACAGATACAAAGGTGGGGGGTGACTTGGTTCTTGCTGTAAATGATTTGTTTTATGTTTTATTGTGGATCATCCTTATTGTTGCTCCGCTCTATATCCCCTTTCCCACATGTGATGAAAATGAGCCGAATGTCAGCCAGCAGACTTAGCTGATTTTAATATTTGCTTGATGGATATCCTTGACCCCCAGGTTGTGACCTGCAGTGTTGTGGGACACCCTTCCCCCCCTTCCCAGGCGAGAAACACACCCCCATAATCCCCATTCGCTCTGCACTCCATTCCCCCCGATGATCACAGAGTGAGATCGGAAAGGGGGGGGGGGGCCTCCATGCCATTCCCTTACCTGTAACTGCCGCTGGTTTTTATTGCCCCGCCGTTGCCAGTTTGGCTATGGTCCATGCTGGGATTCCTGCCCTCAGCAGCTGTCCCTCTCTGCCCGGGATTCCCACATGCTGTCTGGCCAGGGATTCCCCCGGGGCCAATCTGGGGGCCCTGCTCCTCAGCCGGCAGACCGTCCAGATGCAAGCTTTTTAAGAGCGGTTTGAGAGGGGCTTTGCAGGGGTCACTGAGAGAAGGGGGGGGGGGGCATTCATTTTCTGCCACGATAAGGCCTTTAAAGGCTGGTCACCTATGGCAACCGAAAGCCGAGGATGCTGGGAAATGACTCTGGCAGACTTGTGGGGAAGCCTGAGCCTCACCCTTGAATCAGAGGTAATGGGGTATGGACTCTTCCAAAGAGAACGCCTGCTGAGCACGTTAATGGCGCCGTTTGGCTGATTAGCTTTAGCATTGTGCTTTATTAGACTCGCCGTAATGCCATAATCATACATAATGCTACAGTGGGACCATGGCTGGTGCTTTGTATCTTTTTAAGGATTTACATGCCTTTAATTTAGTTATGTTTTCCTTCTGTTTGCACTGACCTGTTTTACACTCTCCCTAAGCGATTTTTCCAACCATTAGCGGTGCAGTAATGATCTTGGGTTGTTTTGTTTCTTTTCTTTTCTTTTCTTTATGAGTACAGCCTGACAGTCTGACCCTGTGTTCCTGATGCAATAACTGACTCTTTTGAGATGGTCGCAATTAACATTTTTGCCTGTAGTATTCCTCAAATTCCAGTCCAGACTGATTTTGGGTACACCCTATCCCATAGTAGGGGGTGATGCCGAACAGACTGGGGACACGCGTGCATGTGTGCACACACACACACACACACACACACACACACACACACACACACTCCTGGCAGTCTTAGAGTACCTGTTAGTGTCTGTCACTGTCTGTCACTGCTTGGCACTATTTACCGCGTTTCTGACCAGAGACGCTCCCATTTTGGTGGGGGGAGGGGAGTGAACCTAGGGTGCCTCGGGATAGAAAAGGAAGAGTGCAGAAAAAGCCATTTTTGAAGTGGATTTGTGGCCTTGTAATCCTGATTAATTCTGACCCGTTCTGCTCATTTTAAAGAGAGCGTGAACGGCTCGCTCCGGCTAAAAAACCGCCAGATTAGCGGCTTTGTGCGGCTTAGGGGCAGATGGCATTTTAAGCTGGACTTAATAAATTGTTTCCATTAAAGTTACCGGGCCACACATAGCAGACTGGGGGGTGGGGGTGCAAGAGGGGGACAAAGAGAGCAGGAGCGCGAAACGTGAAGGTAGAACAGAAGTAACCTTCCATGTAGCTGAACTTCATGCAGTAAGGGCGTTCAGATCAGGTCGCTAGTTAGCTGGGGTGCACCTTTAGCAAATCGTTAGCATACCTTGAGTATACCATCAGTGCACCTTTAGCTTTCTGTTAGTGTAACTTCAGTGTGCCGTTAACATACCATCAGCGCAGCTTTAGCAGATCGTTAGCATACCTTGAGTATACCTTCAGTGCAGCTTTAGCTTTCTGTTAGTGTAACTTCAGTGTGCCGTTAACATACCATCAGCGCAGCTTTAGCATACATTTAGCGTTCCATTAGCATACCATTAGCGTACCTTTACCATATGCTTTACACACCGGTCGTGTACCATTAGCGTAACATTAACATCAGCACTGGGCACTGACGATGGACTGGGACCTTCCTCCATCAGCGAGCGCCCTGCCCGGCAGCCGTGGACTGGCTTTGTTTTGTGAGGGTTGTGCTCGTGTTAAAGCCCCAGCACCCCCCAAATTCACAGCGTGTTTGTTCCCCTGATTGAATTTAAATTTTAAACAGCGACAGATCCATACAGGAGCCGCGTCCCGGCAGCGCTCAGAGCCCTGGAAGCGCTTTGAAATGCGAGCAAACAAAGACGCTGAGCCCCGTCTCCATTTTAATCCCCCTCATTATTCTCCATATTCATATCGCAGCCGGAGACCCCGCACGTTTGTTTTTCCGCACGCGGCCGTTAATAAACGCTCCCCTCGTCGATAGCACTAATGCTGCCTCCGCGTGGCGTAAATAAATGTGAGGCGGGCGCGGGCGATAAGACGGGCGTGTTTAATTATTAATTGAGCCATTACTGGCAGAGAGTGCCGCCTCCAGTTTAAGCCGGGGAAGCTGGCTTTGGGGCGAGAGAAGGCAATTACGGAATTCCCATCATGCACTGCGGCCGGTCGCCAAAGACGCGGCCTCTGTTAATGAGCTTATTCTGTAAATTATTTTAATTCTCCTGTAGTGTTTACGACGCTTTAAATAACCCCCCGAGCTGTCATTTTGTGGGCTTCAGTATCTTAGTGGAGTTCAGTTATTTCTGTGGATACTGGATTGCGTGGTCTTAACATAGAATCGATTTATGCTCGTTTTGTATACGATGTTTCCATGCTCCTCCCATCACCATGCACATTATAAATAAAACTGCCACAGTGTAGTTAAGACGACGGTGTGTGTGTGTGTCTGTGTGTGTGTCTGTCTGTCTGTGTGTGTGTCTGTCTGTTTGTGTCTGTCTGTGTGTGTGTGTCTGTGTGCACGCGCTGCCTTTCTACTTCTTGTTGTGTCATAAATCAGTGCAAGGCTGTGGGTACCTGGGCAATCATGTATCAGCCAGGTCAGGAAGCACTGGGGGGGCCTGTTCCACAGCTAGTACCAGGTGAGGCAACTGGAAACCTGGCTGGGGAGGGGGGGGGGTTTATTTTCTCAAAGATACGGTATTGAAACATATTTCTGGAAATGGTGTTCCTGAGCTATCGCAGAAACGCGAGTCCATGCGGAACCCTCCTATTACAGCGCCGGCATCGTGAGCGGCGGCCCCGCCCCCTGCGACAGCTCTGCCATGGCGTGAAAATGCCACATCACTTCGCCATTTGATGCTGCGTTAAGCGATTTGGCACAGCTGCGTGGAAGACATCTGTGGCGGGGTTCAGTAGCAGACCGTGTGATTCCAATCACCTTCACACACACACACACACACACACGCACACCCACGTGTCACAAAGGGCAGATGTGCTGGGGCTGCTCTCATTGTGCTGCCGTGACCTATTTTGGGACGGAAGTCTTGTGATGGTGTGACCATGCATGGACCAATCAGTGATAGGGGGGTGGGAGGCTCTCTGAGGGCACATGTGGACTGTGCTTCTGCCCCTAAAGTCAAGATGCTTGGTCTTTTCTGGCACAGAATGCCCCCCATTTTCCCATCAGCTGCACTGTGCCAGGACAGTGTGGCAAATGAACGGGGAAACATCGAGGCTGATGAGCCTCTAATGGGCCTTCATGGACAGACGGCATTTCCAGAAGTTTCTATAAGTGGACTAGGGAAGAAAACCTGAAATTGTGATCTGACCCCAGAAAGCAGAATAAAACACGAGATGGGGGTAGGGGACGGGAGAGGGGTGTGGTCGGCTTGGCAGGATGCCATGTTGATTTGCACCTTGGAGATGGAAGAGGCTGTGGTATCTTCAAGGGGCAATTGACCGTGGATCTTTTGAAGGTCATCTGGCAGGTCCAGGCTAGACTGTAGTGAGCCTCTACAAGGCAGCTTACGGGCAGGATGTAGAGATTAGTATGAATATCGCTCTGTATTGTTCTGTCAAAGCAATGATGGATGGCCTTTGTATTTCACTGTCAGAGCCAATGAAAAATGTAACGTTTTAGTTGGTGATGGTACGGCCGCGGCCATGTGGAGGATGTCTCCCTGGAGGAGAGGAACGTTTGAGAAACCAAGGCTGACTGGGCGCCTCAAGGAAGTGTGTGTTTGTTTAGGCAAATGAACATCGCTGTTTGACCTACACATGGAAATGTCCTCATGAGCTCACAGTGTTTTAATGGCTGGGGGGGGAACTGGGAGGGCTGTCGAAAGAGACTCAGAC